GAGATAAACGTAAACTCAGATTACTACTCTTTCTTTTTTGTTCATGAGGCAGCAAGTGAACACTATTAACTCTCACTGGAGAGAATCTCTGCAATGTCATCCTGGTGCCTTGCCTCTTGTTCTAATTCTAACACAGAACTCTTCTCCTTCCCCCTTTTCACCATTCAACAAATATTTATTGAATGCCTGCAGAGTACATTTCTGCTACTGTGCTTGGCCTTAAGAACACTGTCAATGACCAAGAGATATAGTCTCTGTACTCATGAATTTTTTTGTCAGGCACAAGAGACGTGTGTGTGTGTGTGTGTGTGTGTGTGTGTGTGTGGTCATGGAAGTGTTAATTAACTCAGTGAAAGGAAATGTTTTCACTATGCATATGAAATCACCATGATGTTCACTTTAAATATCCTAAAATTTTGTATGTTAGCTATACCTCAATAAAATTAAAAATTTTAAAAATGAGATCATATGATTGGAAAGGCACCATTATAGTGTTGATAGGATAGGATATTTAAAACAGATTATATTGAGCCACCACCTGGGTGGCTCAGTAGGTTAAGCACCTGAGTTTTGATTGTGGCTCAGGTCATGTTCTCAGTGTTGTGAGATCGAGCTCCACCTCAGGCTCTGTGTTGGGCATGGAGCCTGCTTAAGATTCTCTCTCTCTCTCTCTCTCTCTCTCTCTCTCTCTCTCTCTCCCAGTTGCTCTCTCTCTCTCTCTCTTTCTCCCTCTGCCCCTCCCCTAATTGCACACTCATGTTCTCTCTCTCTATAAAAAATAATAATTAAAAAAACATAAAACAGATTATATTGGAAAATCTGGGAATATTTCATTTTGGGACCTGATTTGAAATCCTCTTATCTTTTAGAAGGCTTGCTTAAAATGATTGTGTTTATTGACATGTTACATTTTTTTCTTTAACAGAATTTCCCACTTTTCTCCATGAAAACTGATTTGAAGCAACGTGATGGATGGTTAAGGGCTTCATTGCTTTCGTCAACCAACATTTAACAAGATTCTACAAGGAGCTGAGCAGTATGACTTTGTGGAGGTGCTGGGTTTCTCTGCATCTCAGTATTCTCATTGACAAAAATTGGTAACAACAAAACCTTCCTCAGAGCATTGTTGTGGTGTCGTGTGGTGTTGAACAACGCATGGGAAACGCTAAGGGCAGTGACAGTTATGGAAGAAAGTGAACTCATTCAGCGAGACCTAAGATCCTATGGCTGCTTAATGCCAAACAGCCAATGCCCCGTTTTCAATCCTGACCTCCCATGAGGGCTGTAACCCAGGTCACAAAAAAGTGTGAATATGTTTTAAAAAATGAACTGTGAGTTTCTCTTTTCCTATTTTAGTGAACTTCCTCAAGCAATTATATAATGTGATTGAAGAGAGCATGTTTTGATTTTTAAAAAATGGCCTAAGAAGACAATTAACAAAAGCTTTAGGATTCAATTCTTGAGGTTTTAAAGATTAATCTGAGATGTTTAGAACATAAAAGAGAAAAAGCGAGCATATGATGTTTTAAAGCACAGTCAGCAAACAGTGCTATTCTAGTTTCTGATCAATATAAGGGCCAAGTAGCTGCTGCAGGTGTTTTAATCACCAAAAAGTGGAGCTTCCAAAAATTGCATCTCTCCTCAGAACTCAATAAGATGAGATTATTTTTTCCAAAGACATGATTGGTCCTTTCAAGCAGAGGGGTGGAGAGAGTAGGAAAGTCTAGAAAATGAATACCTTTCACTTGACCATGTTTAAAAGCAGCTGAAGTGCACAGTAATAGAGGTTGCTTTGGAAAGAACCAATAAGAATACATCGCAAGATCTGAGCAAACCCAGCTGGAGAAGCCCAGGGAGAGAAACTTCTTTTTGGCAGTCCCTTCAATTGGTGAGTTTTAACCAGGAGATGAAATAGCTAGGAAACAACAGATTTTATCATTTACTGTTTGGAAAAATAGGACTTGGAATTGAACGGTCAGTTGAAGGGAATCATGAGGCTAGATGAGGCATGATTCATGGGGAGCAGACACAATGGAATCCCCTCTTCCCCCTTTTATTTGGTGTCTGTAAAAACGAGGAGCAAGTCAGAGTCCTTCCATCTGAATCTTTATTCTGAATACCACTGTGTAATTGATGACGTTAATTGGACTCTTTTTTCTCCTGTTGGGTTTAGGCCGAAATCTATCAAGAAATGTTTATCAACTTTATGCTTAGAAGTTATCTCAGAAACCCAATTTCAGATCAGGAACCGAGCAGAATAATGAGAAACTATAAACTGCAGTTTCTGATCTGTCCAAAGTACTCTGACTTTCTTGCCAAAAACTATGTCTTCCCGTCTATTTGTTCCAGTATTGTTTTTAAACCTTGTGTGATATGGTTTATTTCTTTTTGAGAAGGAATGCATAGATAGAATTGCTTCAGATTCAGCATATGTCTCAGGTGGGCCGTCATGATTATCATAGGCAACTTCATTACTATGAATCACAGCTAACATGGTGTGGAGAGATGTGTGAGCTCAGGGCTGCAATGTTTGAATTTGAGAAGTAAGAAGGGAATTTCTGACCCTTTGTGAAACATCCCTTCATTTCGTCTAAGTGTCTTTGTACACTAAAATGGGAGATCTGGAGGGGGAAATACAATGTCCCCAGTGAGGGCGTAGACAAAAGTTTTCCCATCTGGATCGAGATGTGCACATCTGGTGTTCTGAAATGATGCTGGCAGTAATCCTGAACTTCCAGTTTCATCTCTGGGGTTTACAATTTCCCACACACTCGAGGCCAGGTGCTACCTTGATTATCTGCAGACATTTGGGTGGTTGGTTTGCTTTCTTAGGAAGGGCTCTTAGGTGTATTGGGTCCCTGGGAGAGGAAGAGAATGGACCCCAGGCCAGAGCCTGCAATGTTATCCCGAACTTGAGCTGGAGGGGCCTCTTGTTCTGTGAATGAAAAGTGTTGAGGGCTGGCAATTCAAATAGTCATCACTATCTGAAATCCGGGCCTCGTCCCTTTTACCTGGGGGAAGTGAGTGGGTTGGAGAGAATGTGGGGGTAAATTAACGTGAAACTTGCTACTCAGCAATTCAGAAGAGGAGATGTGGTTGTAATAGGAGTTACATGATGGTTGATACTTAAAGGAATTAATATGAACAGTGTAAGATAATATTAAAGCAGGTTTTTCTGTGGCTCACAATCTTCCTATTACCCAAGGCTTGTCAATTTGCTTCAAGCTGAACTACGTAGGAATAAATTGACTCGGTGGCTATTATTCTGAACAGACAACTCTGCCCATTTTTTACTTGACTTAGACGATATTGAGTTGAATTGATTGCTCTCTTGCTGGCTTGGTTCTGTAGAGAACAATATTCTTTTCTCTTTCCTTTTGGCCTCCCCCACTTCCTTCCCATGTTTCCTGTTGTATTTCTAGTTAAGCGGGTTGAAGAAATTTGAACTATTTTATTTTCTTCTCTAGCATCATATTTAACCATGGCAGAAAAACCCAAATAGTGTATGTGCATTTCTGTTTGACAGCCAACCTCAGCTGATCAGAAGTTTTCTCTGTGGTTGTGAACAGTTCCCCTGTAGAGAGGGCAAGGATCTCATTAGCACCAACTAATGGATAACGTTTCCCTCTCTGGAGACCTGGAGTGGGGGTTTTTGAGCCCCCATATTATTTATTTTCTTTCTTAATTCCTACTTTGCCTGGTGAAGTGTTGCAGCTTCCTTTTTGATGTAGAAGAGAAGAATACAATATCCTTATATAGATCCAGAACCCAAAGATTTGGCTTATAGATTAGCTCTACAATGTATTCATGTGGGTATTGCTATTGCTTGATGCACATTACACACCTGTAGCTGCTGACACAGAAAAAGAAATCATTATGAAGAGCACGGCTTGTGCTTATTGAATTTACAGAACATCCAGTGAGCAAGAAGAGACACAATTACTTTGGGAGCAAAATCCCCAAAGTGTCACCTGGGGCTCTGGTCTTTGGCTGACACATAGCCAAGGCAGTGTCGGCATATGATCAGGAGCGGGGATTTGAGCTGCTTCCTGTGTGGTGGGATTTCAGAGCTCTGGGTAGAGTCCTTTGCGGGGAAATCCTCTATCTCAGCTCCTGTTAGATGCCCTGTTAATGCCAAAGCCCCAGGGGAAGTAACTCATGGCCTTAATAGGGGCCTGTCACATAATTTGTGGTCATTAAATATTTATACAAATGAATGCATGGCTGAGTATAAAATTTTCACAAATGTTACAAATAATCTGTAACAAACCCTTTATTTAAAATATGAGCAATAAACATGAAAGTAACATAGCAATGTTACATAATTAGAACACGGATGTGTCATCAAGTTCCCCCCCTATAAAAAATAAAGAAAAAAGTTACTCCTAACATCACTCTACATGATAACTCCTCTCAGTATTCATAATAAAGATGGAATCCCTCGTCACGTACTTTTTGAAATATTTTTCTCTGTTTTCTTTCTCTTAAAAAAGTGTCGTAGCTCTTCAATAGTATTTTTTTAGCCAAATATATTGTAAACATTTTATGTCAACAAAATGTATCAACTCCAGTTTTTAAGATAAGAATTGGACAGAAAAGGAAAGGGGCCATGGCATGAGACAGCTGTTTTTGGTCAAGAGGCAGAGCGTGATGTAGAGAGGATACTGTCTAAAGAGGAGACAGTAGAATAAAGAGCCAAAGAAAACTCTACTGCCTTGTCCTTAATAATCCCCTTCCCATACCATGATGACTGATCACTGCGGGGGGGTGAGGGCCAGAGACCTTTGGTTCTGTGTTGTTGCTCTCTCATCATAAAACACTAGCCTAACGAGTGGCACAAATTTCTGGCGTTTATGTCAAAATGAAACTGACCACAGACCCTTTTTTTGTGGGCTTCTTTTGGGTATTCCCTGAGTCAGTAGTAAAAAGGGGCAACCCCCCACCTGACAAAGACCTATAGAAGCCATCCATAGGACTTTTAAAATTTTTAAAGAATTGTGTTGTCTTGCATATGTTTTATTTAACATTAGGAAAATTTACCCCTCAAATTTCAATTCTTGCTGCTTCATCTTTCTTTGACTTCCTTTCTCTAGCTCCTGTTTGCCTCTTTGTTAACTTTTTGGACATTTCACGATCTTCATGCTCTTTCAAAGATATCCGTAAATTACGTTGTTTCCAGCTCCTTCTGTGCTGTAATTGATAAGAGCCATATCACACCTAATTTCAGCTCAATAGAAGCTGTTGCAAGGTATCAAGTAACTAATTTCATAAACTCCCTCCTGATAGTTTTCATGGTGCCAATGGTTTAAACTCTTTTATTCTCACATAACATGTATCTAGCAATAAATTTGGGGGTGATCATCCCATAGGGTAAAAAATGGCAAAAGTTTCTGAGGGCAGAGTCGGATAAAAGCAGGTGGGGAAGCTTGTTTTGGGCAGAGCACACTCAAACGCTTTGCATAAATAGCCATCCACATGGTCAAGCTTTTTGCCAACTCCTGCCCAATGCCAGTAAAACATAGCAGACCAAAGGGAAAATTTATTGCACAACATTTTTTGAAGATAATTCTAAGACTGAATAAGATTGAACAGAATTGACTGCCATCCTCAATACAAATTTATTATGTTTATCTTCTCATTTGAGGGGCCTCTTTGCTGTTCTCTTTTCCATAACTGCTAAATAGCCATTTTATAAGTCCGTTGGTTTAGATGTGAGGACTTGGGGTCTGGCTATGCCTCAAGTTACCTTTTAGTTAAACAAATATTCTTTAGTGTTTATTTTTAAGAGAGAGAGAGAGAGACAGACAGACAGAGTGTGAGGGAGGGAGGGACAGAGAGAGAGGGAGGCACAGAATTGGAAGCAGCTTTCAGGCTCTGAGCTGTAGCACAAATCCTGACTCGGGGCTTGAATACACAAGCTGTGAGGTCATGACCTGAGCCGAAATCAGACACTTAACTAACTGAGCTACCCAGGTGCCCCATCTTTTAGTTTTTATTGTGGAATCATAAAGGATTTTTTTTTCAGGTATATTTTAGTAACTCAAAATCTTTAACATTTTTATGAGTGATGAGGAGTGGGGATATTTTCAGATTTTTCTGTAATAATCTATTATGAGAACAGTCTGAACAAGTATAACTCATGGTCAAAAGGACCATTAATTAGCAAAGGTGAGGGCAGTAGAGTATATTTTATTGCTTAAAGGCTTGTACTGTTGTGAATAATGTGAATAATCACATATCATTTACTCCAAGAGGTTTACTTTATACCTTTGCAGAGAATCATAAATTTAGTGGGGGATCTTGAGAAGCCATTTATATTTTCTCCACCTTTAGACAGGATGTTTCTCTTGCAAACTTCTCACACTTTCCCTGAAATATTAGTCTCCTCAAATAAGTACTTACAGTGTTATGCAGTTTTTCCACACCAGCCCAAAACGTCTGTATTTCAATTGTAAGCTAAGTTTCTCCACATGCCATATACTTTTAGAATCTTGTCACAATGTGTTATTTTAATTCTCAATTCTTTAACGTGGTTTACTCCAGCAGCATTTCCCTGCATATGCTGCCTCTCTGAGACCCAATACCATGAGACAGATAGTACTGTGACACAAAAGAAAGTTTCCATGGTTACAAAATTTGCCAAGCTCTGAATACTATCGGACTCTCTTGGACATCATCTTATTGTAGCTATCACAGTCTCTGGAAGTTGTCCCCAGACCACAGTACCTAAGGAACAACTAGAATGCAATCAACAACCTACAAATAAAAAAGCAAAAATAAATGTCCAGATGATTAAGATGTGCGGCTGGGGAACAACCATCAGTTTTGGTTGCAGGATCCTATCCCAGGGCACGGGAGATATGGTGCTGAGGGTTCCAAGTATGTGGGAAGATGGAATGGGAAGCTATGTGCCATAGGAGGTCTTCAACTTATAGGAGGTAACATGGGAAAACAAACAACCAAACAGCCTTATTGGATTTGCACAGTGATGCAACTTAGGCCCATTCAGTACTGAAAAAGAAATTCCCTAATTCTACTTTGGACGAGTAGAATCATGCCTGTATACGTTACACTCACTATTTGAAGTGGTACAGTTAGTGTTGCTCTGCAGAATCACTTGTGATGGTCACATTGCTACATCCTGCTTTGATCCTACCCCAATGATGAAACATCACCTCCACAGAGTAATGACAATGATCCCATTGCCAGGGGTGCTCTTTTTCTATGCATTGGTACCTCTACCTTTTTCCTTTAGGGCTATCAGTTATTTTGCACATGGGTAGGTAAACAAGAAGAATGAAGTAGATTTAAGCAGGATGAGGTACCACTCAGAGAACTTTAAAGAGTGAAGAGAGGTTCCTTTTTAAAGCAGGTAACAAAGGAGCCGGATTCACCTTCTGAAGGATGTGGACTGTGGGCAGAGGACTGACGGTCAGGTGGAATTTAAATCACTAGGAAGAAAGGGAGCAGATGCTACATGTAGGGGGAACAGCATGTACAAAGGGGTAGAGTTGAGAATGAGCATATAGTGCATGAGGAAGAGTGACCAATATATTTAGGGTTTTCTACTTCCTTCTCTCACTCTGCCTCAGGAAACTACCTAAGTTGCGTTTTTGAAAAGAACTGGAAACATCAACCCTCGAGTGTTTTATTGTCAAACTTGAATAATACAAATTCTAATCAGCGGACCCAGATAGAAATGGCCCACCTATCATACATCAAAAGCAACTCCTCTGCCTGGCATTTCGGACCCTTCAGAACCAAGGTCCCATTTTATCAAGGCACGGTGGCTCTCACTTCTCACCATCATGGACTCTATTCCAATCAAGCAGATGTCTTCCATTCCTTACCTGCTTTATGCTCAGTTTGCCTCAAATCCTTGCTTATGCCATTTGTCCATGAAAGACCATTCATGGTTCTCATGGCCCATTAACTCACTCATCTAGTTAATTTCTCAGATCATAAAATTATTTTCTCACTTTATGTTTTAAAATCGTATTGTCTAAAACCAAGTATGTCAGCATTTAGGGGCGCCTGGGTGGCTCAGTTGGTTAAGTGTCCAACTCTGGATCAGGTCATGATCTCACCATCTGTTAGTTCAAATCCCGCATTGGGTTCTCTGCTGTCAGCATAGAGCCTGCTTTGGATCCTCTGTCTCCCTCTCTGTTTGCCCTTCCCACACTAATGCTCTCTCTCCCCCCAAAATAAAAAAAAAAATTTAAGTCAGCATTCTATTGTTTTATATTCTTATATTATTATTTTCTGATCATTAATTGTGTCTTTTTTTTCTGTCCAAAATGATATAGTACTTAGGGCTAGCTAAATCTATGATACATGTCTCTCATCCTACCTTATCCTGGGTTAATAGTAGATGTTCAATAATTATTTTGATTGTTACCCAAGCATACATTTCTTTAGCATAGGATCCTGAAGAAATTTGTTATTCCATAGCTGCTTTCTCATGGATGGGAAACTTTGGAAAAGTAAATGTCCTAGCATGTAACAACCAGATGGTACTCCCCATGTACAGTGTGCTTTCATATCCAGTGTCATATTGTTTCTACAAGCATGAATGGTGGGTAAGCATGATATTACCCGTGTTACAGCTGTAGTGACTGTGGTCCAGACAGTGGGAATAATCTGCTCCAGATCAGAGGGTGGATGTCACAGCAGGACTCAAGCCCTCATCTTATGGTTCTGAATCTAAAGTGGAGAACAGGACGGGGGGACAAGGAGTGGGGAAGGAGAGAATTTACCAAAAGAAAGGACAATCAAAAGGGTATTAGGAGTTGTAAAGATAAATTTGGACTTGGGGCAAAACTTGAGATTGGGGGGGGGAGGTTGGCAGCCAGAGATTTCTCTTTCTGGAAGCTCTAGTTCTTATAGTTCCCAGGAAGAAGGATTTTGAATGAACATTAACCATGTGACTGTCCTCAAACTCTGTGTGTGGTAGGAGACAGTGGTTGAGAAGTCCAATTTAGGCTTTAAGTCAGAAGTTAGGAAAAGGTTAAATCTGTGTCTTTTGGAGAGGCTGAATGGCATCCTTAGATCTCTGCTCATCAATCTGTCTCCAATTGTGGGGCACAGGACTGTAAGTTCAACTTGAAGGCTTTGTCCCAAAAGGCTTCCTAGAGGGCTGAACAGTGACATCTATTGGTTCAATTTGAAATACCAAGTTCAAAAGTGGTAGAAACATTCATGCTTAGTATCCCCACCCCCCCCCTTCAAGAATAATAATAACGATCATTCCAGAGGAAGTATGCTCTATCTTAGGAGCAACACGCCAATCAACTTCCAGTACTGGGGATATTGCGTTATATGTACATGTATATATATTTTACAGGGCCTATCAAAGACTTTCTGTATGACTTTTAAAATCAAAATTCAATAGAAACACCACAAAGGCTTGTGTGTTTGGGGAGCTCCTCATTGCTCAAGATCTCATCTTGGAGCAGGAATAAGTGAATTTAGGAAAGGAATTGAAAGGGTGGTGAGTGGGGAATAATGAAATTGCTTTCTGCTTTAGGAAACTTGAAACCCAAATCTTCCTCTGCAGGAGCCTTGTGAGTTACAACCAAGATGGAATTCATTTCTGAGAATTTCAATACATCCTTTAAAATCTCCTAGTTCTAAACTTCACTTAGTGAAGATTCTATGTTCCTTTCTATTCAATACTCTAATAACCAGTGATTCTATTTCTTCTTTTAGAAAAGTGCTTAAGCTCACTAAATATATAACTGATAGAGATGCTCTTTTGGGCAATTTGGATACTTAATAATATATCCTACTTTGTTAAATTAAAAACCATTTTATATATTTATAATATATACTTAAATTTTTAAAAAATGTTTATTTACTTCGAGAGACAGAGAGTGCACCTGCACATGGGAGGGGCAGAGGGAAAAGAAGAGAGAGAATCCCAAAGAGGCTCCACAATGTGAGTGCAGGGCCCCATCTCTCATGAACTGTGATATCATGACCTGAGTCCAAATCAAGTCACCCAGTTAACTGATTGAGCCATCCAGGTGCCCCTATAATATTTTAAAAATATTGATGGAAAGTTTTCCCTCTCTCCCCCTATAGATATGTAAATATAGATATAGATATCTATATGTAGATAGAGATATAGATATCTATATAGAGATAGAGATAGAGATATCTATATGTAGATAGAGATATAGATATCTATATAGAGATAGAGATAGAGATATCTATATGTAGATAGAGATATAGATATCTATATAGAGATAGAGATAGAGATATCTATATGTAGATAGAGATATAGATATCTATATAGAGATATAGATATCTATATAGAGATAGAGATATCTTTATGTAGATAGAGATATAGATATTTATATAGAGATATAGATATAATGCACACTCCCTATAATATCTTCTTTTAGCTCAGACCTTTATAAAAATTGCTAAGAAACAGTAAAATGGATAGAGCTTGGTCTTCAATGTCTTATTCACCCAAGGGAGCAGTGAAGTGACACAAGAGAGTAGCAATGATAAAGAAATAAGATAATGTGGGCTTGGATAATCTATCTGCACACTGAATAGTTGAATACTGACATATTTGGGTCATTGAAGAAAAGTGTTAAAATATTCCCCAGTTATTAATTAGGGAATCAAGCCTGACCCTGGGAACTTGCTTTTCATTTTAAAACTGGTTATGGGATTGTGCAAGTGGCTTATTCGGGTCTGTTGCCATCTCTACCGATTTGCTTTATAGGCTCCTGGTCGCCTGAGCAGAGCATGGCGCTAAACCACACTGCCCCGCCCCAGGATGAACGCCTCCCACACTACCTTCGAGAAGGGGACCCCTTTGCTTCCAAACTTTCCTGGGAAGCGGATCTAGTGGCTGGCTTTTACTTAACAATAATTGGTAAGCTTCCTTAATTTTTCTGTACAAAGGCTGCACCTAGAAAATTCGTGGGCTAACATGTTGACTTTGCACAAGGACTCAAATATTTATGTAGCTATTTTGAATGGAACTGGAGAGTGGGATGAAAGTAGAGGATGGGGTGGGCGTTGTGGAATTCAGTGAATGTTTCATGGAAATGACTCTATTATCTTTATTACTAGTGATAAATATTCCCTTGATAATCATAGAAGTTTTACAGCAAAATCGTTTGTCCTGAGACTCTTTTGGTTGCTTTGGGAGTAGGTTTGTCTTCTGAATAACAAAATCAATGATAATGATATCCTATTTAAATAGAGTGCTTTTACTTTTTAAAAATTGCTTTTGATATAATCGTAAGAGAATAGGCTCAGAAAGGACCTTAGAAATCACCTCCTCTTCTCATAATTGAGGAAACTTGTCCCTGGGCTGTGGTGACAACGGACATGCTAAGTTTATTTGCACCTAAAGTAGAGTTGCACCATGGTGGCATCACTAAGTGATTTCGCTAAGAGGTGGGAAAATGTATTGGTAATAAAATGGGAGTAAGCCCCGGGTGAAAACGTTTTATGCATAATCCAAAGCATGGTACACCTGCTTCCAGACTATGCTATCCAATGTGGTGGCCACATGTGGCCGCTG